CGAGGGGGGGCCCCAGGGGGGCCCCCCGGGCCCGCGGGGGCCCCCCCCCCTTGGGCCCTGGGGACCTGAGGGACCTGGGCCTGGGGCCCCTGGGGGCTGAAGCAGCAGCAGCAGCAGCAGCAGCACCAGATCCTCAAGAAGAGGACTTGATGAGTTCCGCGCTGCAGCTGGGGAAGCTGGTGCGGCTGCTGGAGCGGGGGCCCCTCCCGAAGGGCCCCGAGGAAGGGGGCCCCCAGGGGGCCCCCGGGGGGGCCCCCCGGGGGGCCCCTAGGGGGGCCCCTGGGGGGACCCCCGAGGGGGGCCCCGAGGGGGCCCCCGAAGACGAAGACGCAGCGCTGCTGGCGCTGCTGCCGGGGGCCCCGAAGGCCCTGAGGGGCCTCCTGGGCCTGGAAGAAGAAGGAATTGTGGGGACTTATTTGCTGCTGCTGTGGCAGCAGCACAAAAGATTGGGAGTTTCGCTGCAGGAAGCAATGGAGAGTTTTGTTGCTGGAGTGGAGAAGGAGCGGCAGCGTGCTGCAGGTCTGGCAGCAGCACTGGCGGTGCTGCGGGCGCGGGAGGCGCAGCAGCAAGCAGTAGCAGCAGCAGCAGCAGGGGACGGGGGCGCCGAGGAGGCGCAGCAGCAGCAAGCAGCAGCCGCCGCGAAGGCGGAGCTGCTGCTGCTGAAGCAGCAGCATAAACGCGCGGGGAAGCAGCGAAGACGCATGCAGCAAATGATGGAAAGGGGGGCCCAAAACCCTCAAAAACTTGTCCAGTTTATTGAAGAAATGTGGGGCCCCGTCGATGCTGCTGCTGCACTTAGCCCCGCAAAAGGCAGCAGCTTCTTCGAGGCCCTGCTGCTGCTGGCCCGGGACCTGAGGGCCCTCGCGAGGGCCTCGGGGGCCCTCCGGCTGGTGCTGCAGCACTTGGCAGCAGAAGCGGGGGGGGCCTCGCTGCAGCAGCAGCAGCACGAGGCGCAGCAGCAGGCCCAGCTAGCAGCAGTTCTCGACCCCGAGGGGGCCCCCCTTGCTGCTCTTTCGTACCCTTCTCTTTCGAAGCTTGCGCTGCTTCGGCCCGAGGCCCTCAGAGCCGCAGACGAGGACTACATGGCCGAGCTGCGTGAGGGATTCAACCAGCAGCAGCAGCAGCAGCAGCAGCAGCAGCAGCAGGCGCCGGTCGCGGGGGGGCTGCGACGACCCCGCAGCAGCAGCAGCAGCAGCAGCAGCAGTCCTATTAGGGCCCACGGGCTGCTGCCCCCCACAGCCGTTTTCTCGGGCGCGCTGGGCCCCACACTTTCTCTGAGGGGCCCTCTGGAGCCCGCAGGCCTGGGGGAACAGGAGGGGGGCCCCCTGGGGGCCCCCGGAGGGTACTATTGGCAGCTGCCTGTAAACCAAACTTTGCTGCCTTTTGCCAGGCTTCAGCAGGGGCCCCTGGGGCCCCTCCCCCACCCCTTAATGGACCCAGAAAACCTCCTCAGTCCCCTAGAGGGGGGCCCCCTTGGGTCTTTCCTGGAACTCAAGGCTGAGGCCCACCCCCTGGGGGGGGCCCCCCTACTGGGGGGGCCCCCCCC